ATATTATGGACAGTGGCCGAGCAAGTTCATTCACCAGCTATATGCTTTAAGACTAATCATAACTTATTCGTGATCACGAAGGGTTCTAATTTCTTAGCAGTATCTTGTATTTTCTCAGCAAACATGCCAAACTTTCAATTCTCAGTTACCCTGCTGAGGGGAAACAGTTTACTTTTTTCTTTTGGGGGGGGACAGAACATTTAGAAGAAAGCATTTCTTTTAATTAGTCATTAAATGTTAAAGTTTAAAGTGGTCTTCATCACTTAATTTTATTTAACTTAGTTCAGCAAACTTGACTTCAGTATCTAATAATAATTGTCACTTTGAATAAAAATGAAAATTCCTCTGTTAACCTCAAATAATCATAGCCTCCAACAAGGAACCTGAAGAGTAGTATGCACTTAAATTTGTTGTTTGTCTGGAAACCAAGATGATTATTCTTAAGTACCGCTAGGATTTACCTATTGCTTTTAACTCCATTTTGCAGCAGTCTATTGCAGAGGCTAAGGTCAGGCAGCTTTCCATTTTCTAAATTCTTTAATGTTGTTATTTAAATGGCAATTTTGGATAGGTCGGCCAGCAAGCAGAGCCTATTAGTAGCACACAACATAATCCTAGACACTGCAATGTGTTCACTGTTTCCCTGTTTCATGTGAATTTCCTTTTTATAGGTCAGGTGATTGCTGACAGAATTACAGTGCTTCTGAGAATTTCTCTGCAATAGCCCGTGTTTTCCTACAGTCTCCACTTCTCTCATCCTCATTTCCCATGTACATTAAGGCACCAGCTAAAGGCCGTGCATCAGATCTCGGACTCTTTATGCCCCATTACATGTGAAGATAAAGAAGACATGGTGCCTTAATCTAGTATGCTCAATTTAATTAAGAAAAAATAAACCACACAAAATAAGGTTTTGTATGCTGGAAAAAAGTTTACCTTTTATTTCTATTAAACTTCTGACTTACACTTCTACATTATTGCTTTGTTTCATGTGTGATGTCTATTGTCACACAGTATCTGTGACTGATAAGCAGCTATAATCTGGCTCCCTTATTCCCCTCTTGGATAATGTTTAAAGTTAACAGAACAATCTGAGCTTATTTGGGAATCACTACCTGGTTTTGAGAAGCTGTAACATTTGAATACCAGAAAACTGCTTTCCCATTTTACTTTACTTTTACTTCTTTTTTTCCACAGAGTGCCTCGTTAACAATGCACACATATCACACAGTGATCTTACCAAAATGGTGGTGCCTAGGCCTGCAACACGTTTATCTTTCTTTAATTTGAACTTCCTGGTTTTGTTTACCTGCACACTGCTTATTTCTTTTATGCATCAAACTCTTGCATCTGTTGCAACAGTACCCTCCAGACAGAGCTGAAGATTTTGTCACAAAAAGAAAACCAATGAGCCAAACAATAAAGATTTATCTCCTTGAGGTGCTAGAAGAAAGGAAACATTTGAATTGAAAAGTGATGCTTTTTATTAGCTACTATCTAGGATCAGATGAAAATCTCAAGGGCTTCTCATACTCTCTTTTGCTATGCCCAGTTCTGACAGTAAAACCACTAAGTACTAAAGGCTGTTTCACAGCCAACATTGCAGACTTCAGCAACTCCAAATGACTATACAGAGCCTGCAAACGCTGCTTTTGAAATTGGACAGACATAGTTAGGAGATGCTTTCCTCCTGAGAGTGAACTTTATTCTATAGCAAACAGAGCTACTCACAGACTGGACTGACAGTAGGGCAGACGCTCTCATCAGCAAGGCAGTACCAGTAACATACCCAGTCATTTCCCAGTGAAACAAGAGCTCTTAATAACTTGCATTTCCAACAGTATTATGTATATTTACAGTACCATTCTTTAATAAGCATAATTACTAGGTTGGCTATTTAGGTAATAATTAATGCACACAGCCAGTATCACAAAATTGCTCTATAGTGATGGAGATCCACTTTAAACCAGAGACTTTTAATGACAAACATGTCTACCACACTGTGAAAATATGTTACTGCTGAGAACCAAAAATCCATAACTATGATTTAACAACATGCGATGATTTCCAGCAAGCAATATTAATGACTGAATTATCTATCGAGAATAAATTATTCTATTTCAATACAATTCCATAATACAAATGCCACAAATATGATTGTTTGTAAACTCAGATTTATAATAAATAAGGGGAAGTAGATAAAAAAGGAAAAGTTTAAAATATCAATATGAAAAATATGAAAGAACTGAGAACTCATGAAATACTACAAATTAAAACAATCAGATACTAATAATTTATATGCATCATATTCTGATAAAGAAGAAAGTGCTGCTGTACTTATAACTTTTTAACTTATTATTGTAAGTACATAGCTACATGGATATTTATTATACTTGTGCAGTCCTGTTTTTGCTTTTCATGTGCCCTCCCCTGTCTCCTCAGGGATATAACCTGGACAAAAGAAGGAAACTCTCAAATTTTTGCTAGATGATGGCAGCAGTTACACAGCGTGACTGAGAGCTGCGTGTAGTCTGAGGCAGTGAGAAACGAGATTTTTAGTGAAGTTCTGGCTCACTGAAGACAATGGGATCTTTACCATTAGTTTCAGGGAAAGCAGAATATTGTCCTTTGATTAAATAATTAGCATTATTTTCGATAGCACGCTCTTTGTCTACTAATGTATTTCTAGTATTATAGGTGCTTTATATTTCCTAACTTTATCTAGTATCACATGGTAGAAGTATTTTTTTTGTTTTCACCACTGCCTCTACGATTTGATACATACCCTGTAAAACAGTTCTGGTTTTAAATGCAACACTTACTCACTACGTAGCTGTCGACAGCAATACTACCCAGTAGATTTAGAATAAAATGCATACCTGAAGGAAAATCCTTCCGATTCCACTCAACAGCTGAGGCTCTTGCTGTGGGTAATACTTGATGATGGTGTGATAAGCATCTACAGCAAGCACATAGTCCTAAGGGGTGAAAAGAACATGACCAGGTATTTAAGCTCAGCATTCTCCAGCCTTTATGCCTCCTTTTTAAAGACATATTCAAACAGAATTAAAGCAATTGCAACTTGTCAGTGGAACAGAATTTTTACTTATCACTGCAGGCAGTAGGAGCTGACTATATTAGTCTTTTCTCAGTTATACTAGAACTGCAAACACAGGGGGTCTTCCTTTTTTTTTTCCCTCTCCCAACTGGATCATATTCTTTTTGTATTTAAATGCCAAGAACAAGAAATCTGAACATTTACTCTTCATCTTAGATTACGATTTAGGATGAAAGTTGAAAGCCTTCTGTGTAACTGGGGTCTCGTTTCAAATATATGTATAATTTACATGGTTTAGCAAACTATGTTCCAAAGTTTTGGGAACTGCTTGTGCACATGCTCTTAACTTCTCAAAACCATAATGCGACACAAGCCGCAATTCATGCGTATTTTCTGATGACAAACCAGCACTACTGCCAAGGGGAATGAGGCCTTTTCTATCCTTTCACCAAAACCCTCTTCCCTTCTAGCATACAGAGTAAAAGGAAAAGGAGTAGGTAATCTAAACAGAAAACTAATTTGGGCTGAAACTAAGTGAGGAGTGGGCTGGTTCTGAACTTCAGAAAGCTTTGCAAGTGACCTTCCCCCTGCCAATACCTGCATAAAGACTGTGCTGGCAAGTGGCAGCTCTGAGACCTGCCTGCTCAAGGTGCAGTGCAACAGCATCCTCCAGATAATAAGAAGTAACAGAAGATTAAACAAGATCATGGTCCCAGTTCCCACATAAAAGAAATGTCCATAAGACTGGTTACTGCAGTCCAGTTCTTTCACGGTTAAATCACAGTAATTCAATAATCTGGGCAGTAAATGACTCTTAAGACCTTAGATACATGGTCTTTGACAGGCATACACGAAAAATTCTGTGCTGTACTAATTTGGTGCTTCCTAACAGTCCTGCCCTTCAGCATAATACAAGAATTTGTGGTTGGTGTCAAGAAGCAAAAGACAACAAAGAATAATTTTTCATAACTGCACAGACATCTTGGGGTACTCTCTACCCTACCATTTCTCTTGGCCAAATGATAACACCCATTTTACTTGTCCCTAATGTGATCACAGCAACTGTAAAAGGTAAAGGTACTTCTTCTTCATCTCATGCTTAGTCTGAGGAGGCAATGTGACCCAGGTGTAGCGAATTTCTTTTCCTGAGGTCGCACCTATAAGGGCTGAACCCTTCTTCAGCAGGGCCTGTGGCGACAGGAAAAGGGGTAATGGTTTTAAACTAAAAGAGGGTAGACTTAGACTAGATATAAGGAAGAAACTTTCTACAGTGCCAGTGATGGAACACTGGCACAGGCTGCCCAGAGAGGTGGTAGATTGCCACACCTCTGGCAACATTCAAGGCCAGGCTTGGATATGGTTGTGAGCAACGTGATCTAGTTCACGATGTCCCTGCTCACTGCAGGCGAGTTGGACTAGACGATCTTTGAAGGTCCTTTCCAACCCAAACCATTCTATGACTACTTGACCCATGCACCAGGGTCAACATACAAATTGTTTCATACACACAAAAAAATCAAGAGAAGTCTTTGGAGTCTAATCTGCATATGAGAGAAGTTACATGTCCTATACTACTAGAGGCTGACTTAAACAGTCCAAGATGTACCCTGTGGGACCTGTACTTGCAAACATGTATATTGAATGTTAACAGTTAACATTTTATTCCAATTCTAGTGTGCCATCCATGTCTGTGATTATTATAGGTAATACAAAAAGTTCAGAGCAAAGACAAGCGGCCATATATATTTAAATACCAATTTATTTAGCATCCAAAACTCAAATGTGATGAAATTTGTTAACAATTTTTTTCATAAATGTATGATTTATGAAAAACTCAATTTTTACTGTAACAGCTCTCACTAAAGGACTTCATTGATTATGGAGTCCCAAATGTCAGGTAGGCATAAAAACCTCAGAATAGGGACCCTCTGATCTGGCTCCTTGAAGGAGCCATGCTTGTATTAGCTATTAATTTCTGCAAGAGCATCACTAATAAAATCTGAATGATTGTCCATGACTAAATTTTATCCCTTCCTATTATATAAAATTCTAGCTTTTATGCTCAATGTCTTTCATTCCCATGGATTCCCATGGCAGCATTAAAGCAGCCCCTTACCCAATGCTCAGTCTCCTACACTCTCTGAGGCTTAGGCTATACAACACGAGGGATGGGGACTTTACAATCACATCCGAAAACTGATGCAGAACAAATCCCAGGAGATCATGCGGTTAAGCTGATGGAAAAACGCTTCTGTCAGCTTACAGTTTAGCATGAACTGACTGCAGAAAAGTCTTGGCCAGATGCAGCTGCACAAGTGGGCACTGTTTGCACAATTACAACACCACAGGCTCCCTAGTGTAGGTAGTAGCCAGCCTTTGCAGGAACAGACACCCCAGTAACGTCTTAGGAGGCCCGTGCTGTGGGAGCTTCACGGACTTGGCCTAGTCAGGAAAAAAAACCCTCCTCCCCCTTTTGAATTCTCTGTCAAGTGATTGTACATCACACTATGCATTATAACTAGGAGTACAGGAACATTCACACCTCCTAAAATATTAGAATAGAGGTGAAGCATTAAGAGTCTATGCACTGTAAATAGTGTGGATACAGCATCCTGTTTCCATAGGACAGCACATAGTGTCTGTGCTTATCTACCTCATGCCTTGGAGTACCTATCACAGAAATGGGACTTACTTGTTCCAGGATATGACAACAGACTAAGTTACGTCTGTCCAAAGCAACCCCTAAGCACAGGCAAGGATGGCCCGAGGATGAAACTGTAAAATATTATTGCAATACCCAGGCTCACTTCTAAATACAACCTCATTTTGCAGTTACTCCAGGATCCCATGGTGAGTTTTATATGCATTTCCTCCTCCGCTCCACTATTATGGAAGCTACAGTACTTCTAGAGTATCCTACGTGTCATACAGAATGACACTATTCCATGGTAAGTTATAAAAGCATCTTATCTGAAAGTTCCTTCTGAAGGAGCATACTGTAAAGTACACGAGGGTTTAGTCTCACTTACTAAAGACTGTTTTAATTTTCATTTTTGCTAATGTAACATGTTACAAGAAGGATTGTCTGAGAGAATGACAAACAGGTGCCCTCCCAGAGGGGCAAAGTCTTGGTTGATACAAGTTGTGGTTGCGAGGAATAAGACATGTTAAACACTGCCAGCAAAAGACCCAATGACTACAGTTTGTGATCTAAGGACTTAAAGGTGGGGCTGATGCATTGTCATAGTCTTTCACTTCCAAAGATTATGAGCCTTCAGATTTTCCATACCTTTATGAAAAAATGACTGAAGTTACAGAATTCAGTATATGAATGAGATTTGGCCTTTATAACAATTGTTATAAAATTGTTTTATAATTCAAGTATCTGTATTATTATGAAATTTGGAGCTAACGTTAAATATACTAATCCAAAGAAGTTCTACTAAGCCATTGGATCTACTTGCTCAAAAATGGCAAGTGGGGTTTGTTTTTCATTTAATGCACTGCAGTACAACTGTACTTCCCTTCATGAATTATACATTTTCATGTTTCCCTCACTACCACCTTAAGTACTTAAAATATTAATTAAGAGATATTTAGAAATAAGCATAAATGACCATCACGTGCGAATGCTGAGAGTAGGTTCAATAAACCCTAGACTAAAAATCAGCTTTATTTATACCAAGTACATAGTTCACAGATACTGTATTTTTGGAAGAGAGGACAGGGATAACTTATCCAACCTCTCTATCTAGTGCACTTGAGGAAGGGTTATGAAAGCAGAGATTTACAGTGTCATGAATCCAAAGAGCAGTACTGCAGCACAGTTAGGCAAAAGACATGATGATTCATGCAGTCTTTCTCCTTTAAATCACAGAACTCCTTCGTCATCAGTCCCTTGCGCCACTAATACAAGCTGTTACCTCCTTCTTTGTACAGTTTTAATTGTATTACACCTACATTAAAATAAATTTTAATTCTTCTGTTTTTATGAAAGGCAAGTTCTGAAAAAGTTAAGATAACACTGAAAAAAAAAATAATGCAAAGTGTGCCTTTAATTACAGTTAATTTAATTACGGTTAATTGGTTACCTCCAAAACAGTATAGCCCTCCTTCACAGTAATTTAACGAGATGTTTAGCTATGAAGCTAATGAGGCCATATTTAAAAGACAAAAATCATTGTGCTACATAAACAGAATTCCTTGAGTCAGATAAGCAATGCAGAAGAGATATGACAGGAAATAAACCTCATTAGAGTTAAGGATGACTGAAGTAGATTTAAATAGTTATAGGCCCAACACCTAATCAAAGTGTTTGGGTTTTATTTCTATTTTCAGGAGTCAATCCTAACAAGATTGCTCCCTATTAAATACTTCTGAAGTTTTCTGGCCGAAGAAAGAGATTAGCAAAAGTAAGATAATAAGTTTTGCTTTTTTTATAATGATGTCACACAGTTTTACTTTAATAATTGATTATTATTAATCTACTCATAGCACAAGCTATTCCATTCAATTAATAGTATTTGGGGTTCAAGAATGACCATACTGCAATATTGTAAAAGTTCACTAGATGGCAATAGATGGCGCTGACTTGCAGGATGAACTCGGTGGTGGGTTTTTTTTGTCTTCTTCCTAAATTACATACACTTGAAATACTTGAATAAAAACAAATGCAGTTTTAAAAGTGTATTACACAACAGAAAAAAGAAGTGGAACTGGTCAATTAATATAATTGTTCATTGGAGAATTAACAGAAGTGTGTTTAAAAATTATTTGAAGAAATAGATTTACACTGAGTACTCTAGAAGATGATTATGGCATTGCTGCATGTTAGAATGGTCTTAAAAGTATTAAATTTATAAACAACCCATATAATTATCTCGCAAAGGATCTGTCACGTAAGTGGAAAAAGTAACTTAATGTACTACTGTGATTCTAACTGCAACATGACTATGTGTCCTGTTATTTTTAACAACAGTTATTTTTAACTCCTTAGTAGCTGATGCAGTGCTGTGTTTTTGACTTTCGTCTGAGAACAGTGCTGATAGCACACTGATGTTTTAGTTGTTGCTGAGTAATGTTTACTCCAATCAAGGACTTTTCAGTCTCTCCTGCTCTGCCAGTGAGGAGGGACACAAGAAGCTGGGAGGAAGCAGAGACAGGACACCTGACCCAAACTGGCCAAAGGGGTATTCCATACCACAACACATCACACCCAGTATATAAACTGGGGGGAAGTCACCCAGAAAGGCAGATCACTGCTTGGGTCAGGCTGGGTATTGGTCAGTGGATGGTGAGCAATTGTATTTTGTATCATTCGTGTTTATTCATTTTTTTCCCTTTCCCCTTTCAGGTTTATATTCTCTCCCCTTGTTATTTCCCTTAACATTATTATTGGTGGTAGTAGTTTTATATAATATTTTAGTTATTGGATTGTTCTTAACCCAGGGAGTTTACATTCTTTTGATTCTTCTCCCCATCCTGCCAAGAGACAGATGCAAGGTGAAGGGGGTGAGCAAGTGGCTGCATGGTTCTGAGTTACCGCTGGGCTTAAACCATGACAGAATGTTTGGAAAATCTATCTTAAAAAATTTACTACTCCATATAGGGATGTTTCTGAAAACTGAGACACTTGCAACTACTCCACAGCCAATGCACTGAAATGCAAATTTCGGATGGAAGTAATCATGCTTTAATACGTGGTTGTTGGTCACCTGGAAGTTACTGTTTAACCATAAATTTCTAACTTAACAGCTGTTTGATAGGCCCTAAATACAACTGGCTTTAAGAAGTATCTGAGCTGCAGTATTTCTGGAGTACCATTTCCAAACCAGTGATAATCAGTATTCACAAATATTCTCCTATTACTAGAAGAAAATAGCACTAATGGGACCAAACCAGAAAAAGAGAACTGTGCATGCATGTGGATTTGTGAGTACATGAGAAGAAAACCGCTGAAAGTGTTAAAAGAAATTCACAGCCAAAAGTAAAGTGAAGTTCTTGGGGGGGAAAAAAAAACCCAAAACATTACCAGTATTTTCGTATTTCTATCTGTTACTTTGTTTGGGATGGAAACTCATGCTTTTCTGCACTTGTTTTTTTGAAAAAGTTTGTTCCTTAAAAAATGAACCTATGTCAAGTACCTACTTCAAAACACAAATGCTTACTTGTTCTTAAAAATAACTCCTGGTTTAATGGACAATTATTCCTATTCCAGACAGAAATGTTCTCATCACAATATCATTATGAATACATATTTCTGTTTTCTATAATTCTTATAAAAGGGATACTCCATTTCATACAAAGCACTATTTGGATAACTGGATCTCTTCTAAACAGTGCATGCTTTTTGAAGTACTGTATTAGTAAGAATGGAGCCACATTTGGGAAGAAGCTCAGTAAACATCAGAGGGTCAGGTCTGGCACGACCTTGGGCAATCAAAGAGCAGGGAGCAAGGACTGCAAATCTTGGCCTGTGAAGATTATACTGCCGACAGCTTCGCTCTGAGGCTATTGCTGCTAATTGATTTGTGAAATACAGTTAAGCACTTTACTGCAAGAATGGTGCTATCCCTGTTAACTCTGACCATGAGGTAAACAGCCGTTGTTTTATTTCTGCTTCCTGAACATAAGAAGCTAAGAGTGTTGCACCAAATGCAGTAGGTTGAAAAAGTAAGAAGGTATCAAGGGAAAAAAACACAACAGAGGAAACTAGTTACTTTTGCTTTTATTCCTTTCTCCTCCGCCCCTATCCTATAGCGAGGATTTAAACTTGAAAGAAGGTACCTTACAATTGAGATAGGTTGACAAGGGAGGATGCATTTAGATGTTCTGGATCTTCATCATATACAAAGGCTACAGTATTATTAATCCTGAAAACAGAGCAACATTCCTAGTGCACAGTTTGAAAAAGACAGAGCACATAATTGCTTTTAATTACAGCATTTAGTTAAGTGTTTGAAAAATCCAATTTAAAAATGCAAATTCTGTATTGTTATTGCATGTTCTCTAGGATGATTTGGGGAGAAATAAGTACAGATATGTTCCCAAAGAACATTACTGCAAATAGTTATCTATTAAATAAGACATTATTAAGTCTAATTAATTCCTCACTAAGCAAAACCTTCACGTACGGTCAGGTCATCTTCCCTTACCTATGCACCAGTAATTCTCTTGCAGTTTCTCTGACAATCTATTCTGGAATATACGGTACCTCTGCAGTTGCTGCCACCCACGTACCTTCATCATTAGCAGACAGTTTGCCACTGAGTACATCACCCGGCCCAGACGTGACCTCCACAGCTGAACAGAGGCTGCAAAATAAGAGCAGCTTGTGAATTTGCACAAATAAATTAGAGGTTCTTTCTTGCCATCAATTATTGGTGCTATGAATTACGATTTCCAAAGATCCCCCTCGTTAACACCGCTGGGTTTTCACCATGGATTTGTAATTCTCGGTCACCCTGCACCATCAGATAGAAAATTCTTCATCTCTCCGAGGGAACTGCTCAAGCGGCCCTGGGTACCATACACGATGCAACAATGCTGAGCAGTAGACAGCTCAGCTTTGAGCTCAGGCCAAACATTAAACACCAAAAGAAGCCACACATTTTCCAATATCAGAACAAAAGGTGCATGAAAAGATTCAAGTGATAATGAGCATCAGTTTAAAAACATGTAATCTATGGCATTAAATGTGGTAAAATCAAAAATCAAACACAGCTAAAATGCCATTTCAAAGCCAAACCATGCAGAGTGAGAACTGTCTGAGTCTGGGACTGTTTGTGCTTGCCTCTGGCTTAGAGAAATGCTGGAAAAAATCTGCCAAGCCTGTCTGCTTTCCCCATGATCCTGGAGCTTGCAGGCATTAAAAGCTGCAGCAGCAGATTTCCCTCTCTTGCTTTGCAGACAGTCTCCTGAGGTTGGAAGAAAATGGTTCACACAGACGCTTATTTTCTCTTGCATTACAGTACCATAGATCAATGTTAGAAATATTCCTCTAATCCTCAAAAATAAACATATGGGGTATTCATTTAGTTCATTTGGAAAATAAATGTATCTCAGTCAATCAGCTGTCAAGGTCACTGTAACGATTTGAAAGGAGGGAGGGAAGGGAGAAGAGACTATTTCAATGAGATTGTGATAACTGAGACCACTCATTTGTATCAATAATGTAGTCTCTGCTGAAAGCATGGCAGGTCACATAGATAATTCTTTCAGCACACATAAATGCCATTACAAATAATAAGAGAGCTTAATGAAATATCTTTCTAAAAACTCCTTCAATCCTCTTCAACAACAAAACAAAAAAAACCCACGAATATTCCAGAATTCTTTGCCAAAAGAGGGGCATAATGTGGGGCCCAAGACTGGAGCCAGTATTTCATCCACCGTATCTTTAAATCATTCCTTACTCCTAGCTTTTGTTTTAGAAATTCCCCCTTGATCACATATCATTACTGCTATTAATGGAGAGAATGCTGTAAACCATGAGCAGATATTTTATGATGTATTTCTGTTTTTCCTTCCTTGCGTGTGTGTAAAACCAGGACGTAATTACTCTCCTTTATTATTTCACTTCTATTAATACATGTCCTTTTTGCACATCCTGATAGTGTGGTAACCATATTCGGCTTTTTAGGACTTAGGTGAAAACAAATTAGATGTGGATTCCTGCAGTGGAGACATCTAGACTTCTCATCAACAATGGAATAGCATCAGCTATGGTTCTCAGAAAGGACTGCAAGGCATATGGACCAGACGCCTTCAGCCTGCGCAATGAACTAAATATGAACCTGGCCTGGAAATTCTGTACCCCTGTGCAATGAGGCTTCTTAGCACTGGCAGAAAAGGGGTTAAAGAAAACCTGCAAAACAATGAACAAATCAAAAACCCAACAGCAGATCATTGTATGTTACTGAGATGCCTGAAACCCCCTGTGCAGGTCCAGGCAGCCATGCTTCCACTCCAAGCGTTCGTTTTATCTTGTTACATATCAAGGACTCCACATCGCCATTCATTTCAATAGGAGCTCCGTGCACTGAAAAGCTGCAAAACCAGCATTTTACAGAATGTGTTGCCAGGCAAGTGGTGCAATGCTAAATCTCTGCCCACTGAAAAACTGGCAAATAAGGTGCTCTGTTCCAGACTAGAGGAGATGTACATGGTAAGTCAATTGGTATGGCACCTTCTTACACCAGCAATAATGAAATTACAGGCTAAGCATAATTCCCATAACGAATTAAGGCTGTCTTCACATAAAGTTAATAAAGTTTGCTTCAGCTAGTCTCACATGAAAAAAATCAAATCCATTATCAGCCTACTGGAGCTCCAAATGCAGCAAAGAAGCAGACAGGGAGCAGACCTGGCTGACCTCCGCAGACAACAGCAGTCAACAGTCTCTGCAAAGGTCCCATGGGCTTTTTGGCAGCCTTGAACCTACAGGCAGCTGCACAGTAGACATACAAAGATCCCTCCAAATTTTCAGCAGCATTGTCCCTTGGTAACTACTAGCTGCTGCTTTTCTAACTATGCCTCCTCTTGAGCTCGTCACAGCTCTAAAGCAGCCAAGGAGCCAGAAACTCAGGAGCAAGGCAGACTGCAGGACACACGATTATGACACAACTAGGAAGAAGTCCTTGGATCTTAAAGGGGGATCAGTGTTTTGGTTTTAAAGGAGCAAAAAGGAAAAGAATGTGGTGATAATAAGGACAGAAGTAACAGTAGAAAGGGGATAACAGGGAAAAGCAAGCAGGAGAAGAGAGGCAAGAAGAATAGTAGATACAAGGAGAGAAGAACAGAAACTCCTGGAGCATGTAGATAAATCTTTAGTATCAGACTACTTCTCTTTTTCCTAAGCCTTTTAAGAAGAGTAGTAAATGTATTAATTTGACTGTATTTGCAAATTATGCCTTTGTGGTATATGCTGCTCACGTGTGCATTCATTTGGGGTTTTTTTTAGGACATATCTAGATTAGTTTATTAAGTCAGGTACAATAAGACATTAAAGCTGCTTTACATCCAGTCAGCTTGAAGACCAGGCAGGAGGAGTTCAGGGAGGCGTGCACCCTTCCATATAGACACTGTTTTAGGGAATTGCTTATTAATTTTTTTAACTCTGCTAACAACTCTACTTAAGTCTCTTGTTATCTCGGAGCCAGACTTTTGCTTCCCACAGGCTCCAGGTGAATGTTATCCTAGAAAGAAATGGTAATATTCCTTAGATTGTTAGTTGAAGCTGAAAGGGTTTTGTTTTCTTGTCATGATGTTTTAACTTGCTAGGTGGGCACCATGAGTGGTTCATATAACCCAGAATGTCACTTCTTGTCCAATTTTTATGCAGTAATGTATCCTCTACTATTGAAGCTAAATGACTAAGTACAGGGAAAAAACATAGTTCCATGTAAAATCATGAAAACGACAACACAGATTTGTATCATCTCTTATTCTAAAAAGTGACTTAGATTTTTCAAGGGTCTAAATATTGTGCAGCTAGTGAGACTCAGCCATCTCTGCAGCAGCATCCTTAGCCAGTGTAGCCCTTGTATGATGGCAGTTCAATTAAAAAAACAAAAACAAAAACCAAAAAACCCCAAAACAAAACAGTGATTTCAGACGTAAGGACCAAGAGAAGCCAGTCAGCCAAGGCTTAAGATAAAACATCTGTCTAGCTGTGACATCAATACACTTACATATTCATCCCTAAAGGATAGCACCCATGTTCTTTGTTTCTTCTAAGTTGAAAAAAAAGTTGATTTACTGCATCAGTTTGATCAAGAGCGAAACTGTGAAATTAATTCCAGCAAATAAAAGTATTTGAGAGGCTGAGCAGGCTATGAGATTCCAAAAATATTGTTTTAAGAACTCTGGGTCAGTCTTGTGAAAACTTCTGGCATACTCAGACAAGCAATAAAAACACACTGCCTGTGAAAAAAATGTTTTAAGAATACCTACCTTGTCTGTTCTCCTGTGTAATGTTAGTCATACTTCCATCTTCAGCTAAGCCTTGTTCCAAATTTTCTAGTATCTGTAGTAAATTTTTTGAAGTAATCGACATGAGTTTAAACAGCACTATACATTTAATGCAAATTATCTACAATTGACAGTCTACATCTAAACCAATTCGGGC